TGTTTGCTCTGCCTTTTCTCTGTCAAAGGAGAAAAACAATTAAACCCTAAATCTGAAAGCAAATTGCATTAAGTACACTTATTATTTAATGGTTAAAAAAGAAGTCTTTCCTACCTTACAGAGCAAGTGACAAGCAGTACTACATCTGCCTATAAAAGAATATCAGACGAACGATATTAAAGCATTCATGTAATGACAGAACATTAACCATATTCTGCTATTCTGAATGTATCTCAGTACCTCTGGCAGCTCATGTGTCCGTGAATATCCTGCTTTCTGAAGAATGGACCAAGCAATTTCAGTGTCACTGACATTCATCTGACAGCCGTATGTCTCAAAATAAACTGAAAGATATTTCACTTGTCAACATCATGTGGCATAAATACTTAATTCCAAGAAAGAATTTAGACTTCAAAAGCAGTGTAAATGTGGCAAATTTAAAAGAAAGCGACCAAAAAAATATGTTCACAGGTAAAGTACTTAATGTATTGTATGTACTGTACATAAATTATTCTTATATACAATAACTTTTAAGAAGCGGTGTTGGGAAGTAACTAGTTACATGTAACGGAATTACGTAATTTAATTACAAAATAAATTTAATTGTAATCAGTTACAATTACTGAGAAAAAATGTGTAATTAAATTACAGTTACATATAAAAATGTTAACGATTACAAAGGGGGTTATATCTGAATTTTTTCACACGCACACCCACATACAGATTTAATTGATTTATTTCATAAATTGCATTGACTGCTCTAAAATATGACACACCAATGTTTCAGGAGTTTAGGACACAGAATAGAACACATGCTTATTCGATTACTGTTTTATTTACTATTTGGGTTAATGTATATGCTTTATTTTTTAAGATTAACTGTTTTTCCAAGGAGTTGTTAGATGCCACTGTTACCTGCCATAGCTATTCAAAGATTTGATTTCAAAAACAGTATCATAACTATTAAACTATATCTTATGATTTTAAATCTTTGCTTAACCTCAGAACAATCTCGGATTAAAAAGGTTTTAAAGTCTGATTTCTTGGTGGCTGTGCTTTAAAATTTAATTATTATAATCTTAATTCAAGTGATGAAGGATTTTGAGACTATACTAAAAAACTAAAAGCTACAAGAATGAGAAAGTGGACTGTATGATGACAAAAGCAACTGCAGAGATGGAACCACTGAAGAAACCGATGTAAAACTTAGAATCTATTATACTGTATGTCTTCAGAAGACTTGTGCAGATGTTGTATGAAGTACTTTTTTATTTGGACCCAAACATGGTCACTATATACTTGCATGGAAAGGTGTTGCATGGAAAGATTCATTCTTAAATTCTCCTTTGTCTTTCAGAAAAAAAGCAGTAGTTTGGAACAAATGCGGTTGAGTAAATAATTACATGACAAATTACAGCAAGAGAGAGAGAGAGAGAGAAAGAGAGTGGGGGTTGCGGCATAGAGAGAAGGGAGGGAGGGAGGGAGGGGGAAGGGAGGGAGGTGAGATTTTATAATCTTAATTCAAGTGATGAAGGATTTTGAGTGTTGTTGAGTACTACTGTAATGTTACCCTATCTGGTTTAAATGTTTGAAAATGAAAACAGTTGAAAAAATTTTAATTTTAGAAACAAAATCAAATGTAACCAGTTACATTACTTTAATAAAGTATTGAAATAGGTACACTACTTATTACATTTTAAATAGGGTAACTAATCTGTAACCTATCACCTATTTCCAAAGTAACCTTCCCAACACTGTTAAGAAGCTACACTTGAATAATAATAATAATAATAATAATTTATGTAACAAATAGTTATTTGTTAGATATAGCCCAAAACGAAAAAAGAATTTTTATTTTATTTTGTCATTGCTGTTGTAACAAAGCAAAAATAAGAACGTTACTAAAAAAGAGTTTTGTATATCGTTTATCAGACACTTATCTGTCAATCTCTAGAAAAAGGTCCTGACCTTTCTGTGATCGTGCTGTTGTGCATTCAGGAATATGGTACTCCTCATATTCATCATTGCAAGCATCATAGCTTTTGTCAGAAGTTGAACTCTTGATGAAGTCCTGAAAACTGGGACCACATGCCAGTTTATTCTTTAACTGCACCACTCTTGTTTGATCGGTAGAGGATGATTTAGAGCAATAATATCGGTCACATGTGTCCCCTTGAAGGCGTCGAGACAAACATTTCCTAAAAGTAAATCTACAGAGTGTGAAACTGCTGCTTATGTTCATGTCTCACTCACTTAACTTAACACATTTAACAGCTAAAAACAAACGAATAAACGCATCACTGAACCATAACACTAATCAAAAAACGATTTACCCAAATTAACTACTCCAACAAATCTAGTGAAATGAAGAAAAGACTCCGCTGCGTAAAAATGTCACGCAGCTGAGTACATGTGTAGACGATGTAAATATGGCGACGCCGCTGTGATATATTTCAAAATAAAAGCCAGGTTAAAAAATTGCCATAGTTTTATAGGCTATAAGGCTATAAAACTATAAAATAAAATATCACAGCTACTACAGTTACAGATAAAAGAAATAATCTTGGAGCCTCTTTCAAATATCTTATTCATTTTTTTTATAGTTGTGTGCTGTCTCCAAAAAATTGGTTAAAATGCTTCCTTTTTTTTTTCAAGCCACTTTATTTGAGAAAGGTTTTATGCAGTTCGTGCTGTTTTAAATAGACTTTTGATAACAATGTATTTAAAATAAGTGGGCTTAATCAGTTTTTATTTATTTATTTTTATTTTTTAATAAATACAGTAGTATGGAATTAATTTCCCAACTGTTCATGCAAATGGATAAACGCTCATTTTTAAGTGTAATTATTACATTGAAAAACACTAGAAAACAGTGTTTGTAAATACATCTAAATGCCACTTAAGATGCCTCAGCAGTGCAAAGATGTTTGAGTCACAACAATGTTGTAGGCAAACGCTCAAAGATGATGAGAAAGGTTAATAAGGCTTTCATATAAGAGTTAGACAATCCAAACACAAGGGTAACATCATGCTCTGACACAAACAATACCAGACAAATAAGAGGTGGAAAAATAGAAATGAGAAATTGAAATACAAATGAGAGAATGGAAACACATGAGTGGCGGGAACTAAAACAAATGAAACGTGACTGAGGGAAAACCAACTAAAAATCCATTAATTTTTTTAAATATATAATTATATATAACTGAGCATAACTGTTTGTTAATACTGATTTAATTTGACTGGCAACAGTCCTATAGTGTCTTATTATTCGAATTGCATATTTATTAAACTCTTTTAAGAATTTACATGAAAGGGGACACATGCATTTAACAAAAGGTTAGAAAAGTTGCCCTTTTAAAGGTAAAAAAAATACCCCTGGAAATCAAAGGGGGCAAATATCACCCCTTATTAGAAAAGCTAACTGCTTAGTTTTTGGACTACTTTTCAGTTTTTATCATGGCCTTACCGAATTCTCATTTAGATTCATAATTTTTGGTGTTGTTTTGGCCTTAGGACAGAATCCAGTGGCATAGGCGAAGATACACTGTGTGTAGGTCTTTTACTTGGTCTTAATTTATTAGAATTTAGTTTCAATTTGATTTAAGCTCTGTGCTTAATCTAAATTCAATTTCAAATTATTTTAAAACTTAGACTAAGATTATTATTCATTTAGTTCTGTTTTAATTTGTATATTTTAAAATTCTGGTATCCTCTTACTGTTCATTTATTTGTTCATTAGTTCATCAAAATTATTCATTTTGTAATTAATTATTTCTCTGCTGGTATCTTGGCCCACTCCTCACTTGAAAGAAATCTTTGAGATCACTAATAATCTTTGGTTTTCATGTTGCTCATGTCTGCTTTCTTCAAATCCCACCAAATATTTTTAATGAGATTAAATCTGAAGACTGGTCAGACCACTCAAGAACAGTGTTTATGTTTTTGTGATGTTTGAGAATGCACATAGTCAGTGAGTACCAGTTTATTGTTATAAGCAGAAGACCCGTCCAAAAGGTAAGTGAGGAGGTATTGACACAATTCACCACATGGTGTCACTCAGAAGTCAATTTCTAAATTTAGAATTACATTTATTTTAAGGTGGTTGTGCTTGTGTGACATTGTCAGACAAATCTCTGCTTTTCTATGGATAAAATCATAATAGTTGGAGATTTTAACTTTTGCATATACAGTAGGTTAGGAAAACAATGCATTGGGATTAGAATTGCATTCTCAACTCTGTTTTGGTAAGACAAAATGTCACTGTAACCACTCATTGCCAAAATAATACACTATAGTTTTAATTCTGTCACAAAGTGTTGACACTTCAGTCACAGAGTAGTGATATTTCAGATGACTACATGCTACTAAGACAGTATTTTATAATCTGAAGGGCAAAAGGAATAATAAATCCAATAAATCCAATTTCCAATAAAAACTTTGGAAAGAAAAGTGAAATTTTACAACCAGCTGGTAAAGCCTTATCCCAGTTGGCTCCTAACATTTTTAATTGCATTACTGGCAATGTTTGGGACTCAATTGTGAAAATGTCTAAAGACTTATCTTTTAGTCACTCGACGCATTTCTTTTTTGGTCTACTGGAATCAAAACAAATGCTCACAGGTTTGAACTCTTTTTAACTCTACAGAAGCTATATCAGCGAGCTATAGCAAGATAAATCCATATTCCTGGTTCTGAGAGCAAGAAAACCAGGCAACATGGCAAGACTCGGAAACGCTTGATTCTGTGTGGAAAGCTCTGAGCCCTCTGAGTGAGTTCACTGATGCCCTATCTGGACAAGTGTATCTTACCTGAAGCATATTTGTAATTAAACTGTTTTATCACCACAGGATGAAGACCTAACTTACAAAAGATATTAAACTGCAATTTTTTACCAGCCACACAAGACCATGCTGTACATGACATTCATAGACTAAATAACTTGTTACGGGCAGAGAACTCAGAATCCAGTTGCAAGTGAAAAGTGATTTATTGTGACAATTAAATAGTGAAGCTGGGTCGCAAGCCAAACGTGATGATCAAGGTGAGTAGCCGTGAGCACACGGGGATTACGAAGTCCCGACCTGATCCAACTAGGGGAGAGGAATCCAACGAGACTTCGATGGGTTCCTAGACTGGACATAATCCGAGACAGAGGACTGGAAACAATCCGAGGCAGAGATCCACCCGACACACAGGCTCTGGAGAGACAACAAGCATGAGCCAGGACAAACAACGATCTGACAACACGCAGCCCAACACACGAGACAAATAAAGACAGGACAGAACGAGCGGCAGGTGCAGCCGCGCTGATTAGCTCGTCAGTCCCTTGGTTGCCGGAGCAACGCTGACGAGCAATCAGACAGGTAACACAAACAGACACGCAGAATTGAACACACGGATCCATGAACCGTGACATAACTATACTAAAAAACTAAAAGCTACAAGAATGAGAAAGTGGACTGTATGATGACAAAAGCAACTGCAGAGATGGAACCACTGAAGAAACCGATGTAAAACTTAGAATCTATTATACTGTATGTCTTCAGAAGACTTGTGCAGATGTTGTATGAAGTACTTTTTTATTTGGACCCAAACATGGTCACTATATACTTGCATGGAAAGGTGTTGCATGGAAAGATTCATTCTTAAATTCTCCTTTGTCTTTCAGAAAAAAAGCAGTAGTTTGGAACAAATGCGGTTGAGTAAATAATTACATGACAAATTACAGCAAGAGAGAGAGAGAGAGAGAAAGAGAGTGGGGGTTGCGGCATAGAGAGAAGGGAGGGAGGGAGGGAGGGGGAAGGGAGGGAGGTGAGATTTTTGGTATATAAAACAAGAGGTACAAAAGAGGGGTACAAAATGCCTACCTGAGTCTTTTTAAACTCTCTTATTCAGCATCACCGAGAATGAAACCAAACCCTGAGTACGAGTGACCAACATCTCATGTCTTTGTTCATTAGACTGTCAGAGGAGCATATCACCAACCATACAAGGTAAACTCTTCAATCTTTCTCCTGTCAAAAGACTATTCAACTTGGGAATTAAGAATTATTTGACATTAGAAAGTAAAAATACTTAGACGGTTGCTTGTTGTATAGGTTTATCATCAAGAACCTTTTTTGGCTGCCTATATTTCTTTAGAGTCTTAAAGCTTCTTGATGTTAGATTGTACATTCTTCAGATCTGTTCACCAGTTTTTTGTGTTCTTTTAACCTAAAAGCTAGGAATGTTCACTGTAAAACACTTTTTGGTTCTAAATGGAACTTTTTTGTTCATGAGTGAAGTAGGAATGTTTTAGTAACAACAACAACAATTATTATTATTCTAAATTCTAAAATTAATAATGATTAATAACTGTAATAATATACAATAAAAAAACGTGATACAAATGTATTAATTTACAAAAATAGATTATTACATAATAATAATTAATAATAGAGTAACATAGAAAAGCAGGAGTTTATATACATATATACATACATTACAGTCAAACCAAAAATTATTCAGACACCAGATATAATTTTTTATATCTTTTTACTAGTGGGTGCAGGACATTATTTATGTAAGTGAGGATAAAGTAAACTGTGACATATTATACCCGAAAATTCTTCATACGGTGGACTACCAGCAAGATTGATAAAACATTTGGGACAAAAATTATTCAGACACTTTGACCTGACCATGTTTTGTTTAAGTGTTTTTCTTTAATTGCTAATGTGAACTTTTTACACAACAGACTGAACAAAATTAATAATTTCTTGGTAATTGATTGACCTAATTTGGTATTATCTAATTGAGTACTTAAATTTAACAGCTGACAGCTATTCAACCTAACTCATTACATACCTTTCTATCAAAGTTAACTGACATTATCAAGATGAATTTGTTCTGACACAGTTTAACTCTGAGTTCTTTTCATATTTTATTACCATTTTCCAAACTATAGCGAATAAACTGTGACAATGTGAGAAATGTTGAAGGTGTCTGAATACATTTTGGTTTGACTGTATATAGCTTCAGTGGGTGTGAATCATAATGTGAACTGTGTTTTTAGTGAGAATGATGCAGAGAACTGCTCTGCTATTGCTCTGCTGCCTGTTACTGTCAGCGACATCTTCCCCAGTCCATCCACTGAGGTAAGACAGACCAAAACCAACTTTATAATATTTGATATTTTTTATTTTTAATGTAAGTTTGGTGTTTTAATTGGTGTAATTACATGTTTGACAACATATTCTGACAATTACCCCGTTCAGTAGTGTGTATAATATATGTATACTCAGCAAAAAAAGAAGAAAAGAAAAAGAAATGTCCTCTCACTTATAACTTCTTTTACTTCTAACAAATTTCTTAACGTGTAGATCAGGGGTCGGCAACCTTTTGGGCATGAAGTGCCAATTTTCATTTTTCTGGTTAACCACTGTGCCAATAATACCGCCCCACTGGGCATCTTTCTTCTGTGTTTTTCAGAGTCAACAAAATGTCTTTGTACTGTCCTAAGTAATTACAACTGTGATCTTAATTGACTACCGCCTGTAAGCCGTTAGTGTCTTAAGTTAGTGGTTTCATTCATTCTGTAATTTGCAACTGTTATTCCTTAAGTTATTCCTTAACACTAGAATTTGAGTGGTAACTACTTGAGCCTTGTTCAAATATACACAGTGTCGTTATATATACGAAACGGCCCTGAGGGTGCAGGTGTTCTGCTTGCAACTGATGGAATTAGGGGTGCCGAATTGTGTTTTTGACAAGACACGCATCCGCGAACCACTTCTTCCGCATGTTTCCTAAAACCCTTCGGCCACCAGATTGCGTTAAAACGTGAACACATTTGAAAAACGCCTAAGTGTCCAACACTGTGTATACGTGTGGCCAAATAAGGAATCAAGGCTTTTGGAGCTACGATTCGCTGTTGATATCTCCAAATTTTGTCATCTGCCAATTTGCAACCATTTTCAATCCATTCCCATTTCTCCTCTCGGGAGCATTGATCCTACATCTCAGCTATCTCTGTGAGCTGTGAGTAGTGTGTCACACTTAGATGACATGTTTAAGCAGTAGAAGTTTCTGCCGCTCTTGCGGCGGCAACCGCAGATGCCTGGTCAGCAAGGGTATTTCCTTTAACCTCACTAGAATCTCCCTTCAGGTGGGCTTTCACCTTCAGCACCACAACCTGTTTTGGGAGCTGCAGAGCCCTCAGAAGTCCCTCCACCTCTTGACCATTCTTAATGGGCGTTCCTGCAGACGTGAGGAAACCTCTCTGCTGCCAACCTGCTCGGAAGTCATGCGCAGCACCAAAGGCATAACGAGAGTCAGCATAAATGTTAGCCGTTTTGTTGTTAGCCAATTCACATGCTTTTGTGAGCGCGATCAATTCAGCTTGCTGAGCTGACATTCCCGGTGATAGGGCACCAGAAGCTAAAACTTCTGAGTCTGTGGTTACTGCCCAACCTGCCTCGCGTTCCCCTTTGTCCACAAAAGATGAACCATCAGTGTATAAAATCAAATCAGGATTTTGAAGTGTTCATCTACACTTAATGTTTGTACAATTTCTACACAATCATGGCAGTCGGGAATTGCTTCAGACGAAGCAAGCAATGTAGCTGGATTTGATGGAGTGGCTTTTTCAATAGGGATGTTTGGCATTTCTAGTGCAGTGGACCATTTGATCCATCTAGGAAGTGTTACACGAGCAGCTCTCCCTAGAGATAACAGTGTATGCACAGAGTGTGGGCAGTGAATGGTTATCTTTTGGTCAAGCACTACGGGTGATGCGTATTGCAAGGCAAAATAAACTGCCTGAACTGCTCGTAAACACGGCCCCCAGCCTTGTGAAACAGTGTCAAGTTGCTGTGAATAATACCCTACAGGTTTATTTTGATCTCCCCATTCTTGGGTTAAAACAGATGTCATGTAGCCTTTTTGTTCGTTCACATGCAATGTAAAAGACTTTCTGTGATCGGGCGCTTTGCATAAGGCATGTTTCAATTCCTCAAAAGCCATTTTAGCTTCAGGAGTCCAGTCAACTGGGTCTTGGGCTCTTGGATTTCCCTTTAACAAATTGTTTAAGGGTTGTGATTTTTCTGCATACCCTTTAATCCAACTACGACTGTAATTACATAGGCCCAAAAAGGATCTCAGCTCTCAAATGGTTTGAGGAATTGGATGTGTTTTAACAGCCTCACAGCAACTAGGTGTTATTCGCCTCTCACCCTGAGATATACTCTGACCCAAATAGATTACTTCTGCCTGACACAGTTGAGCTTTTTCCAGGTTTGCTCTGTGACTTTTGCTGTACATGAAATCAAGCAGCTGCCTGACATCCCTCTCATGTTCAGTTTTATCTTCTGAACAAATCAAAACATCATCAATATACTGAATGACAACTGATGTTGAATCAAAATCTTTCAAACGTCTTTGCAAAGACTGCTGATAAATAGTAGGAGAATTGTGGAGACCCTGTGGCAATCTCGTAAAGGTGTATTGTTGACCTTGAATTGTAAATGCAAACCATGATTGGATTTCTGCAATCAAAACACGCTCTAATGTTGAAGCTTGGTTTTCTGCTCGTGCCACATCTCTTGCAGTAATTAGCAATTCTTCAACAGTTTGGTGTCAGTAGGGAAGCCTAAACCCTCCTTCCTGTTACACACTCCTTTCCTAATTTCAGGAATTAACCCATTCAGCCAAACTGATAGGAAAGGCCCTCCTTTGCCCAGAATTTTGATAAAACTTGATGGCTCACAGCCCACATCCAAGCCAGAGTAAAGTGAAAAGGTCTCACACAATCGTTCAGTGTAATCCTCAACACTTTCATCTGTCTTTTGTTTACATCTCGTGATTTCATTCCAATCTGCTTTTTGCTGTTGTGCTTTTCTACACCAAGCCTTAAGTTTTTTTCCATCCTTCTTTCTCAGCTCTGTCATCAGTCAGACGTTCACAACTTAAAATTTCACCAAGAGCTTCTTTCAAACTTTTCCTGTCTGCTGATGACAGATTGACTGAGACTATGCTGAGCCCATATCTGACTGACAGAGAAAAAAATCTTTCATCTGTCTTTTGTTTACATCTTGTGATTTCATTCCAATCTACTTTTTGCTGTTGTGCTTTCCTACACCAAGCCTTAAGTTTCTTCCATCCTTCCGTCTCAGCTCTATCATCAGTCAGACGTTCACCACTTAAAGTTTCACCAAGAGCTTCTTTCAAACCTTTTCTGTCTGCTGATGACAGATTGACGGAGACTATGCTGAACCCATCTCTGACTGACAGAGAACAAATATCTTTCAGAGCTTCCAATCGACCTAAAGCTGATCTCGTATCTTTTCTGACATTTCCTACCTCCTTTGACCACTCATACACTTCTTTAGAAGTTGGGGGTGAATATTTGTACTGCACAACATCTGAATCTCTGAACTCACGATCCATTAACACATTCCCTTTTTTTGTTTTCTGAAGATAAACCTCAGTCCGCTTTTTCCCCTTCTTGATGTTAACCCTCAATGGTCTAAGCTTTGCTGTTGCCCCTTCGCAATCATCGGTGTCTGTGTCAGAATCTGAATCTGTGGTCATATCAGTGTCACTACCAATATCACATGCATTCAAATCTGGTAAAACCTGCGTAATTTGCTTCTGATCAACAACCCTTTGTGTATCTTGAACATTAGCTGTTTTAGTTTTCTGTTCATTTTCAAGCTGAGCTTTTAACTCTTGACATCTATCTTGAAACCCCTTCAGCTTTCTCTCCATGACTTCTTTGTCTCTGTTAAGATTGTCTAATTGCTGTTTCATTTCCTATTTCCTAAATTTAGACAAAGTGGCAAAAATCCAAGGAATTCGTCTTTATTCTCTGGTTTTCATTCTTTGAATTTTACCCCATGCTTTTTTGATGTCTTTAGGTTCCCAAAAGACCGCACTTTTGCACGTTGATTTTATATTTAGCAACTATTTCTTGTTCTGCTTCTTTGACCTTAAAGTGCTCTTTCAGTTGTTCTGTCAGCGTTTCAATTACATAATCTTTCTTAACTTCTGACTCCTCCATAACTGAAGAAATTATATAATCTGACCCAGTAGCCAAGCTACTCCCACAGCAGGTACTGAATTTTCATGAAATGTCAAAACAGAACACACTCACTCTGCTTTGCAGTAGTTAAGCCAGGAGAAGACGCGTGCTGGAGTCACCCTGGTCCTCACTCGTGGCCCGGAGTCAGAAGCCCAGTGGCCTGGGACATTCCACCATCTGGTCGTGCGAGAAACAATCCAGACTCTGCTCTTATGGAGATAACAGCAGTGTTATTCCATCCTGCCGACTACGCCAAAATGTTAGATCAGGTCTCCACGCCAGATAATAATTAGGATCCAGCCCCGGACGCCAGATCCCGTCAGAAAATATCAGTTTGTCCAGTAACAGAACAACTAGTCAGCAGCGCTGTTAATACCCAAACCCTGTTAACAGCAAGTCTTATCTGGTATCCAAAAATACCCAAAACGAGTGTTTAACAGTCTTCTGTCAGTCAAGAAGTTGACCGAGGAAAGCCAGAGAAGAGCAGAAGCGGAGACGAAGTGATAATGGTAAAAAGTAACAGAGTTTATTGAACAATCTTAGTTGCGTATGTCTCAATGTTCAAACTTCGTCTGGCCAGCACAAATTCAACATGTACTGTTATACCAAAACTGTTTCACAGTAGGGCTGTGAAATTAATTGCGTGAGATTGTCATTGACAATTAGGCAATATCGCGTTCATTATCGCAGATTGAATCTAATAAATGGATAAACAATAAAAATACTTAAATAATATAATGATAAATAATAATAAAAATAATCAAATGATAATAATAATCAAATAATAAAAATAATTAAATAATAAATCATACGAATGACTAATGATTAGGCTATAAAATGATTATGCGAATAAATGATTATAAATGAATAAGAAAAAACATAAAAATAAAAACACAACAAACACAATTTGCACGTGAGGATCTATGGATCCTTCATGTTTAAATCATGCAGTCTTCTTTGTAGCAAACATAACAAATAACAGTTATATCATTTATAATAACAAATCCTCTTAAATGAGAGACTACTTGAAATCATCAACAGTATTATGTAACAGCAAACCATTCTCATAGCATTCTGATTTTCTCAGAACATGACATTTGCAGCACTTGTTGGGATACAACTAATTAACAGTGTATGACTCATTTTTACGCTAGGTTATACGCCTCTATACAAACACAATGGCAAAGAGTAGAGTATGATTGGTATTAACAAAGAACAGCTGCCTATGAGAAGAGTATAAGTCTGTGCTGCTTCTGAGCGTACATTCAGAGCATAGACTGTATAAAAGGTTCAAAGTATGTCACGTTACCCTAATTGACAGAGCCTGAACTCTGCTTTTGTGTTAACTAGGGTCAGGGCTTGAAATTATGAACTACAGACACAGGATGTGAGTCCACGGCTTTTTGAGAGCATCTTATTTAATTTTTTCCCTTACTACATGAAATTTGTAAGGTAATAACAATGTTTTTGTTTAAAAACAGGGGTGAGACTGGGGCTAGTCGTCACAGTCATGAACCCATCCTGTGTATTAAGCGCACTGTATCTTTTATCAAATGTTCAGTAGTGTTTTTTTTTTGTACAAAATACTTAACAGAAATTGGCTGCCAAAAATAACCTTTACCAAACGGTAGTCTGCTCTACCGAAAATTGGATTAAAACCACTCCTGTCTGAAAACATCTTGTTTTGACTGTTCTATGTAGAAGAGAACTTGTTCTATTCTATGGGTATGTTCACATCTTACGAATATGTCGGTGATAAACACAGTGCTTCATGTGTTTGTTAGGTTCGGTCAGAGAGCAGCTGCAATACTGATGACCTGCTCTATTGAGGATCCAATGCAGTTGCCAGCAGATACTTCATCCCAAACACCAGATGCTGAGTTTAGGTCAGTCATTCATTCATTCACCTAGTGCTCAACAGTAACACGTTCTTTTCTACTGTGCAACAGTTCAGATTTCTCTTGCCCTGACATTTTCACTTGCCACTTGCATGCATGTGTCAGAAATATATATATATCAGAAATAAATATATATACATATTTTAACTGAAATTTTATTTATTTTGCTAAAAAATAATTCATTTTTAACAAATTGTTTAGGTTTTTAATTTGCCAAGACAACTATAAACACACTTTGGCTGCAAAATGGTGGTATGCAGTTATATATGGCATATTGCATTGCATATATGGCATTATAATATGGCATATTGCATACACTGATTACTGCCTATATCAGGGGTGCCCAAAGAGTTTAGCTACAGCTTGCCTCAACACACCTGCCTGGAAGTTTCTAGTATGCCTATAAGACCTTGATTAGCTGCTTCAGGTGTGTTTGATTAGGGTTGGAGCTAAACTCTGAAGGACACCGGCCCTCCAGGACCGAGTTTGGGCACCCCTGGCCTATATTGTCAACCAATTTTTGCTGACGCTAAAATCATTAGCGTCAATATCAAAAATCATTCTTGCAATTTTAACAAAACTTAACTAACTGTAAGACTGAATAAAAATGCAGCACTGTCACGCTAACAGGCATGTGACATTTCTGTTAACTGGTACAAAATTTCTTGCACTGTACTTTGGGCCATGCAAGTGGTTGAACCCTAATACCCGGCAGCCATGTCACCCTGTAGCCCAAGACTGGTTGCCCACTGAAGCTAAGCAGGGCTGAGCCTGGTCAGTACCTGGATGGGAGACCTCCTGGGAAAACTAGGTTGCTGCTGGAAGAGGTGTTAGTGAGGCCAGCAGGGGGTGCTCACCCTGTGGTCTGTGTGGGTCCTAACGCCCCAGTATAGTGACGGGGACACTATACTGTCAACAAGCACCGTCCTTCAGATGAGACGTTAAACCGAGGTCCTGACTCTCTGTGGTCATTAAAAATCCCAGGATGTCTTTCGAAAAGAGTAGAGGTGTGACCTCGGCATCCTGGCCAAATTTGCCCATTGGCCTCTGATCATCATGGCCTCCTAACAATCCCCATATCTGTTAATTGGCTTCATCACTCTATCTCCTCTCCACCAATAAACTGGTGTGTTGTGGGCGTTCTGACACACTATGGCTGCCGTCGCATCATCCAGGTGGATGCTGCACACTGGTGGTGGATGAGGAGATACCCACTGACACAGTGGTGTAGATTACGCGGGGGACGCGGGGGACGTGTCCCCCCCACTTTTAATATCACCTGATATCCTTGGTCAGAAATTGTCTAATCTGACTTCAAATAAAGTCATCTATCTCTGTCATAACTGTGTGATGTTTAAACACCATTTCCAGGTTTGAAAGGCATGCTGACGCCATCTTTACCAATAGCTACCGAAAAGTTCTCGGTCAAATATCTGCCAGAAAATTTCTTCAAACTGTTATGGGCAAAAGACTTGGGTATGTTTTTTATTTATTTTTTGGACAACTATAACTAAATCATTTATTGTTTTTAATTAAATAATTTAGTTTTAGGTACCCCGTCTCTGATCCACTTTTTTCCATTCTGCTAATTAATCTCGTGATTTAACTACATAATTTAATAATGGTGTGTCCCATGATGTTTAATTCTTTTTTTTTTTTCTGTCAACAGACCATGCACAAACTCGAAACTATGTGAAACGCCGGTCGGGCATATATGGAGACACCTTCAAGCAAGATGTGGATATGGATGTCATTGAGAGGGAACAAAGTTACAGAGAACCACAAAGACTTAAGTTCTCAGTAGTTACACAATGATTAAACATTAATAAAAAACTGTGAACAGTCTTTATACTTGCATTTGCCACATTTTACACTAGATTATTAAAACTCAGTTCACCCTTCATAGTTTTCTGTGCACTGTGTATTTTTACAGCCAGTGTTCAGAAGGTCTGCCACAGGAATCAGAAGTCCCAACCTAAAAATACACAAGCAAGCACATATGGTTGTATAGTGGTATAATCATTCCTTAAGCCACTCCTTAAAAACACTGATGACAAATCCTACCTGAAGAACTCGTGCCAAATTATACTGAAAAATAAAAATGTCACCTCTCACTAATAGCATTATTTCGAAGTTGACAAATCTAAGATGACATTACTCTCATGAATAATTACAAACACTTTAGAAAGACTATAGAAAAGAGAAAGTAGAACCTCAAAGCAACAATAAGATGAAATAATGTGTGAAGTGAATAACAATGTAGTGAACACACCTGTTCTCGTTCATCATCTCATGTTCGAGATCCACCTATGGGAAGGGCATCCGTACCTGACCTCTGCAGAAGCATCCAATTGCACCAAGTCTGGCTAGACAGACAGAAGCGCGCAGCCAATGCCAGGTAAGGCCCCACCCCCTTGCCTGAGAGCATATAAGGCCTGCACGCGACACTATTCTCCAGTTGTCATTCGCTTCTCGCGATCTCTGCACTTCACAGCTCGGGTTGGATTTATCACTGCTCACTTTTCGTGTCTTCAGGAGGACATATCGTCAAGATCAGCCTCCGCCAGACGTGACAGTCTTTTATTCAGCCCAGAAAAAAAGCTGTTTTTGCATCCTGAGCCGCCCACGCTCTGTGATTATTTTCACCTGCTCCCCTTTTCCACGGCTGCCCGCCACTGATTTTACTCAGTTTTTCGCCGGCATGTCGCTCTCCAAACCTACTTCTCTCGGGGGCTGCACATCATGGGCCTGCCCGGCCGCGTGCGGCGCGCTGATCGCCGCTAAGGATCCGCACCCCTTCTGCGTGGTCTGCTTGGGCCTCAAGCATGCTGAAGAGGCTTTGGAGAACACGGAAAACTGCAGCCATTGCCTCACGTTGCCTAAAAAGCTCCTTCGGCGCCGTCTCAAAGTTGCCGCGACCCAGTGCGTCGAGCTCGGCCTTTCGGACTCGGATGGGGGACACGGTGATGACGACGCGCTACCGGGGGCCTCCCGGGGCGCAACGTCTCTCAACTGGGCTGACCAGCCCAATCCTGTTTTTCCCGAAGAGGATACGTTCTCGAGCCGCAAGCTCTTCGGACTCCCTTTTTGCCCCCAAGCCCCTGTCCAAAAGACGGAGGCTTTTTCATGGAGAGGGCGACCGCCCCATTCTCGTGGCTGCCCGGCCCATGCGTTCAGTGGACGTTGTGTGCTCTCCCCCCACGTTCAGGGGGTCTGTTGTGAGGAAAAGTTCACAAGCAGTGTCACCACACGGCACATACTTTGTTCCCCTCACCCAGTTAATAAAGGCTTCGGCCCCTGTGTTCCCCAACACAAAGAACACAATAAAACAAACGAATCATACGAATTCGTTTCAGGGAGAGTACATCTCTCTGCAGAGAGAGAACATCTCTCTGAATCCCTGCATGTCGCCCCTGGTCTGTCCATTATAGGGCGCCATTGCATCACAAATGCGCAAACTGGGCGCACGAGAGAATGCCAGCGCTTCTCCGGCTCTGGTGGGGACACTCGCGAGTTACGAGTCGGCCTGGCAGACTGTTTCGGCTCCCGAGTGGATGATGCGAACTGTAATGCAGGGCTACAGACTGCAGTTTGTAATAAAACCCCCGCATTTCAACGGCGTTCTTTCCTCTCACACGGAGGAGAGCGCCGCTCACATTCTAAATGAGGAAATCTCTTCCCTTCTATTAAAGGGAGCGATTCAGGTGGTGCCCCCCAATCTGATAAATCAAGGATTTTATTCTCGTTATTTCCTGGTTCCAAAGAAGGACGGTTCTCTCCGCCCCATTTTGGACCTAAGAGTGTTGAACAAACATTTGAGGAAATACAATTTCAGAATGTTAACCCACGGCACTCTGACCCGCACCATAAAACAGAACGACTGGTTCACATCGGTCGATCTGAAAGATGCGTTTTTCCACATAAACATTTATCCGCCACACAGGAAGTTTCTTCGTTTTGCCTATCAAGGCATATGTTACGAATTCACAGTCCTCCCGTTTGGGCTCGCCCTAAGCCCAAGGACTTTTTCTCTGTGTGTGGAGGCAGGCTTAGCTCCTCTGAGAATGTCAGGTCGGTGGGGTCTTCATAGCTCCTTGTTACCTTCCTCTCGTCCTTCCTATTTATACATTGTAGTAAAGGAACGAAGGGTAAGTGGGCCGTCGGGCCACGCACATTCGTGTCACCAAGCATGCATTTATTTTCCTGCCTGGATGTTTCATATGTGTTGCTGGATTTATTTACATGTGTGGGCCTCATACATGTTTCATGTCCTGCCTGTGCACAGCAGTCATGTGTGTGTGTGTCAGGATTGTCAGGTGCATGATTATGGGACCGTGTCAGGCACCGCCCCTTGGGGTGACCGTCCTTCTCTGGTTTACAGAACCTCACTGTGAGTGTATTGGGCAATCGGGGAGCTGTCCATGTCTCTCCCATAGGTGGATCTCGAACACGAGATGATGAAAGAGAACAATAGGTTACTGTCGTAACCCTGGTTCTCTGAAACATCGAGTGGAGATATCCACCAGCTTTGCCCCGCTTGCCGCACGAGAAGCGAATATACTTACTGGAGAATAGCGTCGCGTGCAGGCCTTATATGCTCTCAGGTAAGGGGGTGGGGCCTTACCTGGCATTGGCTGCGCGCTTCTGTCTGTCTAGCCAGACTTGGTGCAATTGGATGCTTCTGCAGAGGTCAGGTACGGATGCCCTTCCCATAGGTGGATCTCTCCACTCGATGTTTCAGAGAACCGGGGTTACGACAGTAACCTATTGTTATCACTGACACACAAGTTGGAAAACCTGTAATCACTGAAACAAAATTGAGCACACCTGTGATTTCCAACGCATGAACAACATGAAAAAAGTGTTTAAATAGCAAGCAGCCAACCAACGAATTAACTGTAATTGAACACCAGAACTTTCTGCTTTTTGTATTAAAGACTGTGGCTGCGTCCAAAGACTAAACAATGTTGCCTGAGGAGGATGCATTCCAAGGTTGGAAGGCATCAAGGCACATCCGAATCTAATGTCAGATTCACTTCCTGTCTCCTGAGATGCCCTCATCTGATCGATTTTTGAAGGCAGCATAGACGTATCCTTCACTGCCTTTGATATCCCACAATCCTGTGTGTTCAGTTCCATAAAAGTTGAGCTTAAAAATAAAGATGGTGTCTGAAAGTTGCATTTTGTGGAGTTTTTGTGTGATTCTGACCAACTTTTGATGTTACTTCTAGCGGGAAATCAGTATTATATTAAATATTAGCTTACTTCCCACCAAATCTCACTCTATATTGTTGTAGATCATTAAACCTGCACCCAAAAAGTTAAGAGCAGCCAACAAGTGTCCAACACACACACAAAGCCCTTCAAAATGGCTAGATTTAATTTCTTTAACATGTTTTGGTTACTACATAATCCCCATTGCATTTCATACTTTTGTTCAAATCTTTATATTTTCTACATTTTAGAATAGTAAAGAATGACTAGGTTTGTTCAGTATTATATTAGCCGCCCTGCTCTCTGAAAACCAGTATCGGCCACTAAAAAACACAAAACAAGCAAATGTGTTTTAATTGTTTTATTTATTTTAAAAAACATTGTGTTAGCCATCTGTGTGGTGATGACTGGAAGAATGATTCCACATTTCTGTTCAGTTGATGACAAACAAAACCTCTTGCTCTGATGGTATGACCAAAAAAAAAACAAACAAAAAAAAAAGCCCTCAAACAGGAACATACTTCACTATTCATTACAAAAATCTGAAGACAGGAATCTGCATTCAAAAACAATCAAATGAACATCCTTCCAAAAACAGGAAACAGCAGTAGAATATCACAAACTTTCATTTGCATTACCAAACACAATTCAATGTACAAACAACAATCATCATATCCTCAACATATTCATCTGAAAGTGATTTGTTGTCAAAAAAAGAAAACCATGTTTCTTAACTGTCAAATTCAATTTGTATTTTTGAAAATTCCAGAACATTCCGGCCTGCATCTTTGTTTCTCTTTTAAACCACCACCAATACTTCTGTTCCCAAATTTCTTAAAGAAAAAAACACGAATATGAAACATCCATGGTCTTCTCGATTTTGCCAGCATCATTTTCCATCAAGTCTGAAAAAGAGAACAAAGTACTGATTAAAACCAAATTTGTACTTCCTGTAGGGAATAGCAGTGCTTGCAAGGTAGTAAAAGCTTAGGTTTTAAACTGCAGTTCTTCGTAACCTGCAATGCAACATTAACCTTTTTGTCATCAATCACACTGCAGTTGGTTAAACAGATGCAGGAAAAGACCAATCACTAAACAGTATTCAAATATCCACGACATCATCTGTTGGTTATCTTTTGAATGCTAAAATCTAACAAAGTTAATGGAACACTTTCAAACCCTAAACAGAATGTTTGACAAACATAAATACAGTGCTGCACTTCAAACAACGTACTATAATTAAAAAAGAAAATTATTATTTAAAATGCAATACTGTATTAATTATGACCAATCCACTCAGTATTCAAAATCATTTTAGGAAGGGGAATTTCCAAGAATAAATTGCATGCATTGAGCATAGTTTATTAGCATGAATCATGTCTGCAGTGCTTCGGCATGATTCAAAAACACATGCAAATTAGGTACTGGGGCAAACATCAGACACCATTTGCACAGAGCAATTCCTCTTTAGCAGGCCAGTTATGAGTACTAGGTTAAGAAGGATGCAGCAGACTACAACAATCTGCACCCTAAAAAATATTGTAAATTTGACTGTAAAAATGCTACAGTAAACACCTATTAACTGGTTAATGGTAGGTTCCTTTACCATATACAGAAAAAAAAAACTGTCATAGATTTAGTCTATTCTTGATCTTGTCATTTCATGTTATTTTATAGTAAAATACTGTTAAATGTGCAATTTAAATACTGACAAACCATACACTGACATTCCCAGAATTCCCTGTGACACTTCACATTTTATTTAAATCATTGTTTATTGGTAGTTTTTGTTAGATCTGTATATTGGTTATTTTAGTCTGTATGATACCATGCACCTACTATATATTAGAATTTTCCTCAGCTTGTGGAAAGGCTACTTGTGATGAACTTTTATTCTTCTTTACCACCTGTGTTACAAAACTGATTTTAGTAGCAGTGTAGCCTAGCCGCTGTATTTAGGATTTCTTTTTTTTTTTTACAGGTTGTTCTGTAAATACGTTTGTATTTATATTAACGCTGCAAATATTCATTGTGCCAGGCAAATAGCGCTGCTATTTGTGAACCAAGTGAAGCCCTATGATGCCCCTTATTTGTATAGAAACACATTTGCACTGAAAATAAGAGTTTAGTGAATGCTTGGAATTTAGAGTAGTTGTTCATATAGAACTTTAATCAGGCAACTTCCCAACTGAGAAATGACAAGCAATTTATCACATAAACTGTAGTTCCGAGCGGTCTGTCACTGAACACACTAATGAAGTGAAACACAAGCCAACAAAAACAAGTGATCACAACACTCTGATCAATAAAAAGCATGACATGAAAAATATGGCTTGACAGTCACAAATGGCATTGTTTCAAAGGAAGTTGTGAGCTTCACTCAGCAAACACACCAACATAGCCATGCAGTAGGTGTTGTCATGGAAATGTTGATGCCATATTATGGGATGCACAGGTGGCAACAGCAAGCCTTACTTCAGCCTGAAGGCTGGCCTTTCTTTTTGCAAAACATTCAGGCATTTATCGCAGACTCCTATATTTTGCCAACCTACTACTTTGTTCTGCAGCAATCCTAAAGGAAGGGTAAAGAAAGAGAGGGAATGGAAAAACGCAGAAGGGTTAAAGAAACAAACACCGAGACAAAGTGTTTTCACACCAAGAACGATAACTATAAAGTTATAGAGTCCACACCAACGGACAATAACGTTATTTATGCCCACTTTATTATTTATGCCCACTTCATATTTAAATGCATACTTTAAAGTCAGTTGAATTCTCATTGGATTGTTTTTATTGTTTATCAGCTGAAAAAAAAAACAGTTCTTAATGAGATTCCAATAATATTGTTCTTCATTTTTGTTATACCTATGGTGTGGACTTGCCTATTCTTATAGAGTAAGAGTGATTATTAAAAATGTTATAGTTACTATAGTGGTGTGAATGTCCCTAAATGCTCCATTCAGCTTGGCCTGGCAGTCAAAAGGCTGCTGTATTGTTGGCTGCTAGTATGTGTTTCTACTACTAGATGCCCCAATATTATTGGTGGGCTGTGTAATAGGCTATATCTTTTGAAAATCTGCCAACTAATGACATGTATTGGCAGTAAAAAAGATGTTTAAACATGACAACAGTATCTCATGGTAGATGGATGAGCTCCATCGAAACTTTTCTCATCTGTCACATCACCAACTCTCATAGATAATGATTTTAGGTCACTTCGCTGTTGCTTGCTTTATGTACAAATGTCCCTTTGGAAAAAGAGATGTAACTCAAGACAAGTGGAAGTCAAAGCCTTGCATTAAAGGCATAGTTCACCCAAAAATGAAAATGTGATGTTTATCTGCTTACCCCCAGGGCATCCAAGATGTAGGTGACTTTGTTTCTTCAGTAGAACACAAATGATGATTTTTAACACCAACCGTTGCAGTCTATCAGTCGTATAATGCATGGCAATGGTAACAAAATCTATGAGAGTAAAAAAAGAGCCAGAGCGCGTACACACCTCACGCACCAGATGCCGTGCATGTGCTCAAGGCAGTTGGACATAGTGGTGTATTAGAGGTAAAAAATTATATAAATACTGTTCGTTTTCTCGCACAAACCGATCGTTTCGTGTCTTAGGACATCAATGTGTCGTCAAGAGCCGCAGGGTTTAATTTGGATTTGGCTGTGCATGGTTTTTTTTTACTCTCATAGATTTTGTTACCATTGCCATGCATTATACGACTGATAGACTGCAACGGCTGGAGTTAAAAATCATCATATGTGTTCTACTGAAGAAACAAAGTCACCTACATCTTGGATGCCCTGGGGGTAAGCAGATAAACATCACATTTTCAGGTGAACTATCCCTTTAAATGCATTAAAGGAATTTATCTGTACAGAATTGGGCCTAGGAAAAAAAAAACATTTCAGGTTAAAACTAAACACTGAATGGACACTTATGTTCTCTCTAAGGTCTTTTTAAAGGCACTACAGATTAATTGGGTAAGTAATCTTCCACAAAAGGCTGTTAATTAGCAGGGCATCCTCAGGAAGGCACATTCTAAATCTGTGAAATTAATCTAGTCCCAAAAGACAGAAAATGAAGAGGAAACCACTTCGGAGTAAACCAAGCACGCACTACAGAGATGGCAACACACCCACAAGTTCAGCAGAAGGTTCAGAGTGAAGACATAAAGGGGACAGAGATAAAACCCAAGCCTCTATTTTGTCAAATAGTGCAATTCAAAGCTGCCTTTTTACCACGTCAGAAATAAGACTGAAAGATATACCAAATATTCACTATCTATACATAATTTTGATGGCGATATAAAATTAAGCAACATATCACAGTGGTTTGAATGACCATGAAGGTTGGCCTTCAAGACTGTGCATAAGACAAACTTCATGATGCTAACACTGGTTCATTTGCATTTTCACTAAAAAATGTTACTACATGCTATGTTTACATACACTTAACATTGCACCTTTTTCGCCAGCAAAGTTTCACTGTGTGAGACTAAATGCTGTTTATATCTGAATAGGTTAGTGTTAAGGTTATAGCTAGTGTGCTCAAAAACAATGGCAACATTTTTGCATTTAGATGTTACATGCATTCAAAATTTATAGTGTCTCTCTACTGCCTCAATGGATAAATAATTTTGATGACATCATTCTACATTTTATCTTCTCATCAGATTTTCTCTTTCCAATCAAATGCTCTTTAGAATCTGAAGCGTCCCGCCCCCTACACAATAAAAAAGGTGCTATAACTGCAGCGGAAATCAATCACTTTGTTTTCTATATAGTGAATAAAAGGCACATAGTGCATTAAATAAGGTAAAGTGAGTGATTTGGACAGTCTAAAAATGCTTTCCATTCGGGTGCTTGCAAAGGACAATAGAGGCAATATCGGTTTAAAACAGTTACTGTACCTTTTCACAGCTTTTTGTGCTAGCATGCGGTTCCCAGCCAGGAATGTGAGGCTGCCTATGATAGCCAAATACTTCAGAGTCTGGAACATGTTCAAGTGAGTCCAGTACACGTACATTAGACCCAACGTAGCTGCAAGAGAAGAGAATAAAAAAAACTATTTCTCTCAGAAGCATGTCACATTATAGAAGTTAAATTGGATGCAGGTCTGTTTTAAAAGCAGTGAAAGGTGAAAAAACAAGGCAAACATAATCGTGCAGTTACTTTGCTCAATTCCATACATGGATAACTCTTTCTGCTTATCTCAATTTAAGTTAAATATTCCATCAAACAAGTATTATTTAAAACATTTTCTATTCGATTGTACATTCATTTGGAAGTTCAATGTGCAAATCTGGTTATGATAAACTTCACCAAAAAACTATTAAATTAATTAGTTATTTAATAAATTCATAGCCCATTTCATTCTGAGGACATTCTTTTTGTACTGTGCTGGATCTTGACTTCATTTCCAATGTAAAATTTAAGTTCTAAAGGAAAAAAAAAAAACATTGACAACAAGTGATTTATATTTCATTGTAAAAAAAAAAAATCAATTTCTCTGTGAAGAAAATGAGATTCTTACTTTCTGAACCCTATTGTTGCACTCTATTAACTCTATTGATCACGCTGAAATACTACTGTGTAATAAAAGTCAGTCTTACCGGCATGGCCTATGTGGAAGAGAATAGTGCTGGGTGACAGTGTGAAGTTTGAGATATTGGCTCCAAGTTTAAACCACTGTACAGGCAAGAGGGAGAAACATAAGCATGACAGAGTGAATGACAGAATGATAGATCGAATATACATTATTTTTGAATAAAGCAACAGAAATCACATTAATTTATATAGTTTAATCTATTCCCATGTCAGTTTTTACATGCACCCATAATAATGTGTCAGAAGACCATTACCAGTATGAGCAGGAGCAGAAATGGAGAGAGGACCAAGGCAGTAAATGTATTGGACACAACTGTGGGTGGCTTCTTCTCTGGCTCTCTGAAAAGATGCTGTAGAAACAATTTTATAAATGAAACAAAAAATTTTAATTAATTAATTAATTAAAATAATACAGAAATGAGGTAACAGATAGGACTGGGCATATTTTGATATGGATATTTTTAGCCTTTCGATATACATCTTGATATTTATGAATAAGGAACCATAATTTCAACCAAACAATCAATTAAAGAAAGGAAACAGTATAAGTTTAAGAAAGAGTTGAAAAGTTGAAAAAGAGTAAAAAATGAATAAATAAAAATAGCAATACATAAACCGCAATAACTGCACTGTTCTAGTTTAACAAAATGTGTAATTACTAATTATGTTATTAACACAAAAATGTTAAAAGTAATTTTTAATATGTACATGGATCCTATAATTTCTCTTAATTTAGTATGTTCCCCCCTTTTCTTTAATGAAGCAGCATTTAAGTTTACAAACAAAACCTGATGACCCACGCTATCCACCATGATACAATAATCTGAATAGCATCTAATGCTTCAGTGGAAGGAGGAAAATCTGTCCTTTTATACAAAGTCCACACAGTCAATGTTGCAAACTTGCTTGTTTGACTTGTGAAAAACTGCAGAATTGGAAATATATTTTTTTATTATTTCATGCTTTGTTTTATTTATTTTTAATCCTAAAATGTTGATTTTTGTGTTTAAACAAGATATCAAATTCCAGATGTATATATAAATGAATATTAAGCTTTTATTAATAATAACATTCATGTTATCTGTCCAGAAATGTGGCATTTTCCTCAGAATATCCTGTCGTCCCTGAGTACCACTGGAGCGCTTACCTGGATTTCTGGTTTGGGCACATACAAAGTTTTAGCCTGAATTGTTCCAGGTACCTCTTCTTCTAAGAACTTCAGCACAACGTCAGCCTTTGAGAAAAATTAAGTCTAAATTAAGACTAAACAATGACAATTCAACATTTCCAAACATGTCAGAAAAACAACAACACAGCACTTGCAAAAGTCTATTTCAAGATCCCAGAGTTCTCCAATGAAAATAACTGCCTTACCACGTTCCACAAAATGGGGTTCTCCAGCGTAGCGTCTCCCACCATCAGGTAAAGAGCATAGGTGCCAGAGATGGAGTCAAACTCTGTCTTTCTCTCAGCTGTGTCCAGCTCAAACTTATACAAATTCTTACTGTCAGGTTCAGCCACAAACACGACCTCCTGACCTGTCTTCTGGTTGTGTAACCTCACAAAGGTCTGAAAGCAATGACTTCAATCAGTTCATTCAAATGTTTTTGAACAGTGCATTTAAATAGGGTTGCCAACTTTGCTTGCTTGGAGTGAGATTTTGATGACATGGACGTAATCACACATCCCTATCCAAGGTTTTAAAGGTGACATCGGATGCCCATTTTCAACAAGCTGGTATGAATCTTTAGGGTCTTCATGAAATGTCTGCAACATACCTTGGTTAAAATTTCTCAATGGTTGTGTAAAACAACACCCTTTTTACCTTATCATAAGCAGCTCCGTTCACAGCGACCCGTTTCGGTGCATGTCTCTTTAAATGATAATGAGCTACTGCTCACCCCACCCATCTCTTCCGTTTTATTGTGTATTTGGTTGCGCGTTACCATCAAAAACAAAACTGTCCTCAGAGGCTCTGATGTCGGGAGAAAATGAAGACACTTACCCCTTATTTACACCTGTTTCACACCGCAAACTTGAGCTTCGCGTCAGCGTAACTTCATCGTCACTGCGAGAATATTCACAATGGAAGTGTTTGAACAGCGTCACAGCAGCGGCTGCTCACTTTATGTATGAAACCGGACACTTTTACATTTAATTACAAAACACCTGCATTTGCTTACGAGTCAAGTCGCTACAGCTGTTCGAGCGCGGAGAAAATGGCAGGAAAATCCGTCAGCGATCGTGGGCAGGGCCTGAGCAGTATGACATCATACTGTTCAGAAATAATCGAGACTGTTAAGGTTTCTTTGGGGATTTAAAAAAAAACAAAAACTAATGGATTTTTATCCTTGTATGGTGCTTGTGTCTGCACACTGCTAAAACACATTTATATGCAAACACCATGTAAAAGCGAATTTTGCATCCGATGTCCCCTTTGAAGATCAAAACCTCACAAAAAGGCTTGTCCCACTAATGAAGACAAAAACATAGGACTATACAATGAGGGCAGAATTTATTCACTTGTCATGCTTTATGCATAAAAGAAAACCATTTTGGATGGGATAATCACCTGGTGAGGGGTGAGTTCCACTCCCGTGGTCTCATCAACTAACTGGAACGTCACGGCAAAGTTTTGATGGCCGTCTGCCATAAAAGATGCTTTGGCTTTAGTTGGATATTCCACTCTGAAAAACAGTGTTCAACACATACGCTGGCTTAATTATACAATAAAAAGAAAATGAATCAAATAGAGCTTGATAGAAGCTGGTGGTTCTAGATCTTACCTGGTGGTTTTGGGGCCAGTACTCTGGTCCTTGTCCACGACAGACAAATCCATGTTGTTGATGGCAACTCGGGTAGAGACCTTTACTTTGAGCTGAGAAAGCAAATCAAACAAGTTTCGATCTAAGGCTTTAAAATGACATCACTATAAGAAATTATTTCAATCCATTAAAATGGACACTCGTAAGTGTCAATATGCTGGAAGAAAGAAAAAACTACAGCAATTACAATAATTGTGCCTTTTTTGTAATTTGTTCAGTGAAAGAGGCCAATGACTTCAGAAAATCTCCACAGCAAATGTGACATGCTTTTGACCTTATAATTGTACACTGAACAGTCAGAGCAATTATTCTTTACATAGCTACAATGTGAATGAACGCACTCTAGACCAATTAAACGTGAACGTTGAGTGAATGAGGAAATGAATCAAAGTTCATTGCAACAATTAAGAGTTAAACGCTGAGGTCAACTCATTGAGGTCACGACAAGGCACGACATATACAATAAGATAAACAGATACAAACTAAACTTTTGATTTTTCTAGCACATTTCAAAGATTCAGTAAAGTACCTCAACATGGTTGGCAACAAATCGGCTGTCACCAGCAATGGCAACAGAGAACTGATAGTAGCCACTCGCTGGTTGGCTGGCCATGAAATTCAGCTCAAAAACCCCACTGTGAAACAAAGGACAGTCTTTTAAACAAAGGAAATATTTCCAAATGAAATTATCACTGTGTTTCAGGCATATTACGTTACTTATCCAGAGTCTGGAACTCTATTACAAAATAAAATATTCAAGCACTGTGCACATTACATAAACGGATAGTTTAAATTAGTGCTGCCAAACGATTAATCGCATCCAAAATAAAAGTTTTTGTTTACATACTATATGTATGTGTACTGTTTATTTATTATGAATATATATATACATACACACACACAGCATATATTTTGATTTATATATTTATATTATTATATTTTAAATTATATATAAATATGTTTAATATATAAACATAGCATATGTTTCTTAAATATATACATGTATGTGTTTGTATTTATATATACATAATAAATATACACAGTACACACTCATATCTTATGTAAACAATTTTGTTTATTTTGGATGCGATTAATCGCGATTTAATCATTTGACAGCACTAATTTTAAATGTATTATAGATAAACTCGAAGCCCAAACATACATAATTGACACGCAAGAATAAAACTAATTCGTTCTTGCAGGTCAAGCACGCACATTTGAACTGTCATTAAACATATTTAATGTGCTTTATGTATGTGTGATGATTAATGTTTATATATGAATAAAAGCCTAAATTAAATATGTTCATCATATCAAGTGATTGTGTGAATTAGATCAAACCACCTGATTCATACAGATTACTTTTACAATGTCTTTATGTACTTTTTGAAGCTTGAAAACCGATTGTGTATTTAATGGATGGTCAAAAATTAAGAGAGAATATTAAAAAAAAAATGTTCATTTGTGTTCCGAGGATGAATAAAAATCTTAAGGAGTTTGGAAAGGCATGAGGATGAGTAGAAACCAGAATTTTCATGTTTGGGTGAACTAACTAACTTTTTAAAGGAAGTATGTTTAGTAGCATGTTTTGTTTTTTTTCTTCTGCAGTTTCAAAATTTGTATGGCATTAATCATTATTTGAAAGTTGTCATCTGCAATGCACATACTCTCTGAGGGTGAAGGGTGCCTGGCTTAGCACGGCAGATTTTGAGGACACAGCACTGGCCGACTCCGCCAGCACACTTGCTGAACTGAGGGGCTGGCAAAGGACATCCGTCACCTGAAGCTGCAGTAACAAACACAGACATCACAGATTATTTCAGGTCTCTTAATCGAAAAATGTGCCAAAGCAATTGAGAAAAACTGTAAGCATTGTATACATTTTACAATTTTGCTGATTACTTAGAAATCCCTGAATAGTTTAGCTTCTCAGTTTCTTTCACATTATAATCCTTCACGCTTCTTGCAGTCACAAAATTCCTAAAATATCACAACTGACTGTAGGTGGTAGATCCGTTTCCTATTTAGCACCCAAACTTTGAAACAGTCTACCTAGCACTGTTCAGGAGGCAGACACACCTCTGTAAGCTTAAACACAAATTAAAGATCCATCTCTTTAGCCTAGAATACACATAACATACTTTCACATTTCTATAATTCAAATCCATGAAAGGATTGTTAGCCTGCATTAATTAGGACAACTGGAATGGGGTACACTTCTCATAACACCCAGTGTACTTGTTACATTAAAAGAGGAATGGCATCTACCTAATATTAGTCTCCGTCTCATTCTTATCCCGAGGTTACCATAGTTGGATCCAGCCTGTATCCAGACCAGATGAATTGAATTAAGATGAAATAATTAACTATTGTCTTCTGTAGAGCTGCTTAATACTGAACTTATTTCAAAATTGGTTAAATACATTTTACACTACTGAACTGAACCAACACTGAACTGACTTGATCTAAATAACAGAGTCTCCATAACTGAGTTTCCATAATTGATTCTGCTATTTTTCGTCTTATTACTGTGAAGCTCCTTTAAAACAATCTATGTTGCATAGTGCGCTATAGAAATAAAGGTGACTCGACTCAGTATTCATTTTGTAGTAATTATGCTTATGGAGGCATGAAAAAACAAATTAGCAGTCTTAAAAAATTTGATTTTTTTGACTCTGCCCCAAAAAAACTTTAACTTGAGGTATGAATGCTTCTAAACAGTAAGGCATACAAAGAACCCTATATCAGATGAGACCAATTCAACTTGTGATGAACAGTCAGTGCATCTCAATCAGACCCGACTGACATGCAACCAGTGATCAAGACAAAAAGGAGAGTGAAGAAGTATTTTACCTCACATCCAGACAGAGCCTGGCTGGCTTCTGCCGCATAAAAGAGTGACTCCACGCTAGAGGGATCCAGGTTTGACTTGATAAACCTGCATGTCTCCTGAGGTAGACAGATAAGACAAAATTAGACACAATGGTAAAGACTAATATTAATTGTTTAAAAAGCTTTTTTCTTACATCTGCATCCGCAACAAAGATTCCCAACTTGCTAAGTCCAACAACAGAGTAGTAAGCAGACTTGAGGTCAGTGAAGGGTTGGCTCAATACAGCCTGAAGTCTGGCCACATCAGTGATGGTCAGATGGTGGGTTGGGTTCAGGGCCTGGGTCTCAAGAACCAGGGACAGGACCAACAGGCTAAACAAACCTTAAAAGAATACAGTTCATACGATGACACATAAGTATCTCAAGGTAACTGCACTTAAAGGAAGCATTTGCCTCCTGGAAAAGCATAATATGCATTTTGAGGATGTTGAAATCAATTGGAAATACCGAAGATTGGATGTCCGGAAGCACAACTTTTTTTAGTCATTTTATAGACTTACAAAGAGCAATATCTAGCTGATTAAATATTTTACAGCTGAGCTTAACTTACAAAACGTATATTCACGACAGAAATGTCCAGGTCTTTTCCAGGCCTAAAATCACAATATTACAAATTCTCAGCTGTAAAAGCTGTAATTTAAACGCTAGAATTTACACGTTCTTTGCAAAAGCTGTCAAATACAGAAGCTATAACATACTGCTAATATAATATGACTCAACGAAACTATAAAATGCACTATAAATGTTCACCTGACACTGGATAAATACTACGCACAATACTACTAAAAACATCTAATATCATAGTTACTCATATCAGAATAAATGAAGGTACTGATTGACTGGCTGCAAGAACAACTGTTTGGACAAAATGTGACAAACTGCATTCACAAAATCAGCCTAAACATGTCAGCGACGCATCGCTGTTCCCTCTTACACTGATTTAATGAACATAAATCTTCAACAAAAGCATAAAAACATGCAGAAATATTACTTACAGAGATGAGCCATTGTCGCCTAACGCACCGTCACCAAAAGCAAAGAGAACTTCCGGGTCATGCGGATGAAACTTATTTCACCAATGTAGGGGGACATGTGCGTTCATTTGATCTAATAATAGATATCAAACATTTAAAATGAATACCCCAATGATATACATTATATGGAAAAGATAAATCATGTATTTGATAAATGAAGCGTTCGTAAATATGTAAAATGTATGAAATGGACATTACATTGAGGGACAAATTACCCCTACGGACCTCATGTGGTGTGAGCCAAGTCGTGAAAAAATTAATGAAACATGAGAGAAACGTGGACTTCCAAACTACATATTACATTTTTATAATAGTGTACAATAAAATTAAAACCTTTCATAAATGACCACGTACAGAGTACAATCTGTTTGTATGAGAAATAAAAATGCTCGTGCGCGGTAAAAGACGGAAGGTGTGTGTTGTGCTATGTGTCTGTTTGTGATTGGGCCGCTTCCAATCCTCGTTTCTCATTTCAACCAATCAAATACAGGATAACCCCACATGAAAAGTGATATAAATTGTAATTACTAGTGAGGATTTTGATCTGATCTTTTCATTTCGTTCACCAACGAGATTTGTTCACTGACCCTTTTCATAATTAAGTTTCATCATTACGTCTTTAGGTGGCGACAAATACATTTATAAGTATTTTGACAGAAAAGGGTCTTTTTATACAGTGGCCCCAAAAAGTATTCGCATATTTGGCCACAGCTGAAAATGCATGAATGAATTAGCATTATAGCAATGATTTAGCATTAAAATATGTAATCATTATAGTCTTTATTAATAAATCATCTAAAACTTGTATTCCACAAGGATGAATTACAGTTTTTCTCAATTGCTTTGGCACATTTTTCGAAACAATCTTAACATTCTCTAAACTAATAGATTACAAAATTACAAAAGATTTCTATTTCAAATCAATGCTGTTCTTCAAACCTTTTGTTCATCTGTGAATCCTTAAAGCAGACACTGTATCACAGTTTACACTTTCATTAAACATTGGTAATAATAAGAAACATTCCTTGAGCAGCAATCAACACATTAGAATGATTTCTGAAGGATCAAGATTGGAATAGTGGAGCTTGGAAAGAAGGAAGGAAGGAAGATTAGGGACGGACGGACGGACGGACGGACGGACGGATAGATAGATAGATAGATAGATAGATAGATAGATAGATAGATAGATAGACGGACAGACAGGTAGATAGGTAGATAGATAGGTAGATAGATAGATGGATGGATAGACGAACAGATAGATAGATAGATGGATAGACGGACAGACAGATAGATAGATAGGTAGATGGATAGACGAACAGATAGATAGATAGACGGATGGATGGATGGATGGACGGACGGACGGACGGACGGACGGACGGATGGACGGATGGATGGATTGATGGACGGACGGACGGACGGACAGACAGACAGAAAGACAGACAGACAGACAGATAGATAGATAGATAGATAGACAGACAGATAGATAAAATATGTGTATATAGGGGTGTAACGGTACACAAATATGATGGTAAATACAGCACATTAAGCTTTATGACATATAGTGTAAGTTATGAGGTAAGGGCAGAGACCAGCTCAATGCAAATGACTGTAAATACAACATAAGGTGCAAAGGAAGTATAAACAGAAGGTGCATTATACACACGGCCGCATTAACCATTGGGCTAGGCGGGGCTGAAGCCCCGGGGCCCGAGCTAGGAGGGGGCCCGTGATTGGCTGTGGAGTAGACTGACGGACATCGGTAGCGCCGATAGCAAAAAAACCACCACGCCCCCTATTATTTAGTGGAGTTTTTCCGTAAATTCCATGCATTACCATTAGAGATTAAAACGTCACATTTGAATTTGTTTTACCAATCAAATGCATTTATTATATATTTTAGGTTCGAGGGAACTGTGCACGCAGCCTATCTATCAGGTGATCGCTGCGCCTAATGTCTGCATTCACCTCTCTTCACTTCATTCTGCTGTAATCTAGAAACGGTCATGCAAAGAACAATCTTCGATAAGTAAAAATGTCAACTATTCTAAAAAATAAAATGAGGGGAGAGGGGAAAACATGAGTGAGTCACTAAAATCCACAGCTAGTTTATTTTACTAAAGCTGATGATGGAGTGGGAGTTGTGGAACAGCAAATGGACCGGGCATATGGAGCAGATAAAAACAGCGTCATCATACCCACAGATTTTAGGTTAGTTTGATTATTAACTTGATAGATGTATTGTGCTTTTTGTGTTTGAACAAACTCTACAGGGCTAGTAGCCTATATTCGCTTATGGGTTGAGAAATTAATTTTGCGCGTCATGATTTAAGCTTTTCATTTAAACACATTTTAAGTGTTGTGGTTTAAAAACTAATTTAACTGTTCAGGGACGTTAAGCAGTGGCAGAATTCATTTTGGCAAATGCGCGCGTTAAGACGGTTTCTGATACGCGCGGAGCGCACTTACTCGTACAGCGCCTGACTAAGAGTTATTTTTCGCGCCTTGTGTTTAAACGTTCAAATACACATAGTTATGTGTCAAAATGCCTGTCTCCGACCTCGTCAACACAGTTATAGTTCACCCAAAAATTAAAATACTGTCATCAGTTTCAAGTTGTTCTGAACCTGTATGAATTTCTTTGTTCTTCTCAACATAAAAGAAGATATTTTGACTCCAATAGTGTTTTTATTGTGTCAATAATGTAAAACAACAGCAGAATGAAACTCATTCAGGTTTAGAACAATAACAATATAACTTTAATTTTTGGATGAACTATTCCTCCAAAGCAGCCTAATATAGCTGCTCTTGCCATTTGTGTCAATAATGTAAATTAAACATTAGAAAGAAAATCACTCACTGTCCTTGACCGAATCGCTTTTGTAAAATAATGTATATTGAATTTATACAGTGAAGACTATTCAGTCTATTTCTAGTCTATTTATTTTATACAATATATTTTTTATTCACTGCTTTAAGTGTTTGTAGGTCAGTTTCTTTGTTCTATTGTAATTCATGACTGTTTACTTGTCTTCAGTAAGTTTGTTTTTACATAGGTTAGTATTTTTTTTATTTTATTTTTTTTTATTTTGAGATATTGGAATTGGTAACAAGAATTATGAAACTTTGATTGGATAAAAATCCTATGATACATTATATCATTATTGTGACGGGGGGCATAAAAATCCTGTTAATCATTATTGTGACGGGGGGCCCTGCAGTAAGTCAAAGACATTTGTATACAGTGAGTATTAATGCGGCCCTGATTATACAGTGAGGTAAGTAAATAGCATATGTTTAACATATGTTTAGTGCAAATTTGGCATCAGGAGGTCAACATCGTTTTGTGACCGAACTTTACGTTCATTCATAAATTCACCCCGTCTGTGTTGCGAAGCACCGACTTTTTGAAAATACTATGGAATTACATTTCTGCCGAAATTCTGCGCGCGAAAGATCATTTTGAGCGCGCAAAAGTGCGTTTTGCACGCGCGCGAACTGAGTGTTGTGGAGAAAATGTTTGTCTCGCAAAGAAGAAAGTATTTCGAGCGATAAAGAGAGAGAATTTATTTTTTTTTTATTTACATTTTTTTTTTTATAATGATGATGATGTAGTCAAGTAGCTTCGAAAGAGATGAGTTTTCAGCTGTCGCTTGAAAATTGTCAGAATATGTGCTTGGAAAAAAATATGATCAGAATATCAACTTGCGTAATAATTATGCATGCACTGTATTTTTCCTCTTCTGCTGTCGAGGTAATGCAAGAAATGTTGTGATTGGTTGTCAAGGCAGCCAATCAGAATTTAGCAGCCTCGGTCTCTGATTGGCTGGAATTATGGCACATTGTAACGCTGGGTTGTGTTGAGCACGCGAGCTGTTGGCATTTAGCGAGCACTGAGGAGGGCATCAGGTGAGCAAGCTAGTGAAACGTTGCACGCGCAAAAGAGAAGGTCTGCACACATCCAAAAACGTGTTTTAAATGCAAAATTGATTTCCGTGCGCTCGAAAGACTTTTTTCTTTGCGAAACGAACATTTTCTCCACAAAACTCAGATCGCGCGCGTTCAAAATGCACTTTTGTGCGCTCAAAACATGATCTTTCGCGCGCAGAATTGTGGCAGAAATGTAAGTCCATACAAATCCCGCCGTGTTTCTGTTGCTGACCAGTGCTATTGCGCAACTCTTGCGCAGCGTTGAATGTGAATCCCTAAAGGAGATATGAAACGAAAGCAAACTCAAACTACACTCTTTTAGGGTTTTCGTGAGCCTGCCCCTGAAGCTGCTGCTTCTTCAGCTGCAGCAGATGACACGAATCGCTTGAATGTTTTAAATTGGCAATGCTTAAACATGCAAATAACAAACTTTTTTGAGGACGCAGCAGTGGCCCGATCGGAGCAGGGACAGATCAGTAAACTGTCATTACCTGACCTGGTCACGATCAAATATATTAGCATTACTTGGCAGCATAAAGGAAAAGTATGCATTGATTTGTAAATTTAACTGATTGAAAACGAAAGTAAATGAGGGGAGTTGAAAGATTTCTTATTCTGTGGCTCCCTCTAGTGGACTTCACTTGTCCTCCAGAGAGGGCATTTTTGCTCAGCCAATGCAATACTGTGTTATTCCTATGTATGTCTGCACTATGTCTGTACTTTCTTCTACACTGAAAGCTCCTGTCGTCAAGTCAAATTCCTTCTGTGTGTAAACATACTTGGTAATAAAGCTGATTCTGATTCTGATCAGAAAACTGTAAGTCTGATCAGTTAGAAAAGCAAACAAATATAGCAACAAACTATATCAGGTCCAGGGTCTCTAGCGTTTGGTGCTTGCAGCATTAAAGCCCTAGGAGGAGATACAGTAGGCTACTCTTGAAAATTCTTGGTCTCAGATCAATAAGAAGTTTAAATAGTAGCTATAACAGTATGTTGGCTTTCTGAAGCCAACATAGATAATAACTTCAGTAACGTTAGTGTGATTAATGAATGCAGGAGAAGGGGAGAGATGACGTAGATACTGTGTATGTGTACAGGAGTTAAACTGAATACAATGTTTATATCTCCT